TTTATTTAAGGTGTCCGTTTCATGGTGTAATTATGCATTTAATATTGTTTACTAATAATTAACTACATGTGCTTTTTATAGGGTTAGGGTTAGGATTAAGGTTTGGTTTAGGGTTAGTTCCATGCAAATCTGTAATTATGCATCATTTATACTTATTATAATAAGAGTTCAATAAACAGTTATATTATTATATTATACTTATTATACAGTTCAATAAACTCCGCTACATACTGTTCAATAGTCCGACTCTCCTGATGAAGACGGAGAATCTGAATATCTTGTCTCCAGGAAAGCATGGCTGCTGGATCACGATAGGGTGAGTTCTTCTGTTACGATGCTAGTGTGGTTGAAGGACAGATAAAGCGTTGGATCCATATGCAGCACACGCTTTATTTAACAAATAATACAAAATAGACAAACTACTGGACTACAAAACAGGAACAACCGACACTGGCGTTAACAGTCCACATGAAACAAGAGCTCACAAAGACAGGGTAGAAACACAGGGCTTAAATAATGAAGGACAAACAAGCTAAACCAGATAACGAGGGGGGCGTGAGAAATAATTAACACCTGGGATAATTAATAGACAGGGAACAACTGATAGCAAAATAACAAGACACAAAACCCACATTATAACAAGCGTTATAGGCTAAACTGTTTTTATAGATAAAACTATTTACATTTGGCAATCATGAAAACAAATCTCAGATAACAGTTGACTGTAACAATGTGTAATTAGACCAAAGGTTCATTTTGCGCCGGAGTTCTCCTTTAATAAAAATACGTCAACATTTTGCTGATGCATATGAATGCTTATTTGATATTATTGATATTAAAGGGGAAATGGTGTTGACGAGATGGGAATATGATGGCAGACATTGTGAACAATGTTTCTATGTGCAGTTTGTCATATGACATTACACGTCGTCTTTTTGTGTGATGACTGTAACTTACATTTGCCAGCAGCCATATCACCCTGTAGCCCAAGACTGGTTGCCCATTAAAGCTAAGCAGGGCTGAGCCTGGTTAGTACCTGGATGGGAGACCTTCTGAGAAAGCCAGGTCGCTGCTGGAAGAGGTGTTAGTGAGGCCAGCAGGGGGTGCTCACCCTGTGGTCTGTGTGGGTCCTAACGCCCCAGTAAAGTGATGGGGACACTATGCTGTCAAAAAGAGCACCGTCCTTCGGATGAGACGTTAAACCGAGGTCTTGACTCTCTGTGGTCATAAAAAATCCCAGGATGTCTTTCGAAAGAGTAGGGGTGTAACCCCGGCATCCTGGCCAAATTTGCCCAGTAGCCTCTGTCCATCATGGCCTCCTAATCATCCCCATATACACCAATTGGCTTCATCACTGTCTCCTCTCCACCAGTAAGCTGGTGTGTGGTGAGCGTTCTGGCGCAATATGGCTGCCGTCGCATCATCCAGGTGGATGCTGCACATTGGTGGTGGTTGAGGAGATCCCCCCCTTCTATGTGAAGCGCTTTGAGTGTCCAGAAAAGCGCTATATAAATGTAACGAATTATTATTATTATTATTATTACATTAGTCGTTCGCGGTCAAAACACTGGTGTAAACAGTTTGATGTCGCGATATTCAATGCCCAGAGCCTGGGCCAACCAACCCCGTGACGTCACATGTTAGAATACTGCACAATGGTGGCGCCCTGGCGGCGCAAAATATCCACAAGTTTCCGAGGGGCGCTCCTGTAAAAAATAAAGTGGGTGAAACTTCCGGTGACACGGCGGAAGTAGCATTCCAATGGTATTTTGTGTGTTAGTTAGCGAAGAGGCTAGCTGTTTTTCGGAGAATTATTTTACTACTTAAAGACGCAAATCTTTATGAGAGATGTCGTTACGGAGCTCAGGGACAACATGTGTTGTTCGCGGTTGTATGTATAACCGGACTAAACTAATTCAGTGGCTTAAACGTGATTGTTTTGAACATAAGCTGAAAACGAAATCACAGTGATCCTGCCAACGACTGTAGTTTCCATCACCTCCCAAAAGACGACGAATCTTCCTGTGTACATTTGTTTAAATTCTTAAAGCTATGGTATACAATGTTAAAAATCGGTCGAGACGGTAGGGAAGTTTTAAAAAACTTCCGCCCCTCCACACACACCCCCTGAGCTACCTGATCCCTGACGTATGTCATGTTTGAGTTCACGTAACGCAAGATTAGCAACACATGAAATAACCATAACCAGCATCTAAACAAGGATATTAATAATGAACAATCTTTGAAATCGTATACCCTAGCTTTAATGTTCTATAAACTCTCTAAGCTTGTGTTTGGCTGTTCGCTACTGATGTTACACCTAAACTTAGGATCAAAGCCTGCATTGACAGAATACCAAATGTGCCAGTTAATGTATTCAAGTAGCATATTCATTTATAATTTTGAATAAACTCCAAAGCACAATGACTAAGTGTGTATTTTTTATTTTAATTGTTTGTCAGCTCGCACAACTGTCTGTCACCATGCCTTGATGAGTATTGATTATTAACAATGTTATTATAATATTCCCAACCAACTACTGCGGAGGGTAAAGGTACTGTTATTTCACCCTTTTTAATTTCGTTGAGGTTGTGTTCCCACATCGTTAGCTAGTTTGGATCGCTATAACTTGAATGACTGTCAACTGTTGAATGAACGAGTGTCAAGCATATCAAATCACGCTTTGTTTACTTCCAACCGGAAGTCGCGCCCACTTTTGGGGCCCACTCAAGGCCTTATGGGGCGTAGGAAACTTGTGGATAAAGTTTTTTTTCTTTATTTCTTGTTTATTTTTTATTTATTTTTTTTGTTTATTTATTTTATGTTTACATTTGTCATATTTCTTATATAATTGTTGATTATAATGGAAATCCATCTTGTAAATCATGTAAACTTGATTGAGTGCTTAATTTCCCCTTTAATTTATGGAGTTAGGGTGCTTTGAAACAATATTGTATAAATCCCTATAGAAATGAAGAGTTCAGATGTAAAAGCCTCTAAATGCCATTTGAAATTTTCTTCTTTAATGATAATTTTTTTTATTAAACTTGTATATTTAAGTTCAGTAATTTCACTTAAATAACAATTAATAGGTAATTATCATTGCCATTTAAGCAGGGCCGGCGCTAGCCATTTGGGTGCCCTAAGCACAAATGCTTGGTGGTGCCCCTTTATCCCCCCTCCCCAACCACCCACTCACCCAAGGAATAACAACCATTCAGAATTTCTTAGTTAGGTTTTCTTTAGTTCCAAAATAACTGCTGCAATTAAATACATTTACATTAACAATGGCACCAAATATGAAAAGAAATAAATAATAAAAAGGTTAAAATTATAAATACCAAAAACCACCACAATTACTAAAAACACATATTTGGAACTGGCTACAACTGCTGGTTGATGGTTCTTCCTCCTGGCCTTGAGTTGCTCCTTGCATGTATTTTAGCATTGACCCTGCATTCAGAAATACGAGACAAAATATTCAGGGATTCTACTGAATCAATTACCATCATACAAAAATATTGCACACATTAGTCTTTTATATAGGCCTATGTGTCACTGGAACATTTAAAATTCAAAACTCCATTCTACCTTTAAAAGGGGTCTGATGAGGCACAATATAATAATTCTGTACATAATTTGTAGGGCTGGGAAAAGATTAATCGTGATTAATCACATCCAAAATAAAAGTTTGTTGTGTCTACATTAATGATATAGGCCTATGTGTGTGTACTGTGTATAATTATTTTGTGTATATAAATGCACATTTGCATGCATGTATTTAAGAAATATTTGTAATTTATATATAAAATATTTTAATTTATTTATGATATTAATTAACTATAAATATATACAGTATATACATGCAAATATTTCTTAAATATATACGTGCATATGTGTGTATATTATATGTACAAACATATTATACACAGTACACTCACATATCATGTAGAAACTTTTATTTTGGATGTGATTAAGCTTTTCCCGGCCCTAATAATTTGACAACTCCATATGAAAATATACAAACACTGAGATTGTGTTTTTTTTTTTTTCTCTAATTGCAGTTTCGCCAATAGATGTCGCCCTTGGGCCTTTGACCGCATTATCCGCATAGAACAACGACGAAAAAACGTATCTAAGCGGTCTTCCTTTTCTTCTCAAACAAACTAACTGCATCTTAAACAGCCCAAGTTAAAAAATTTCACGGGTGAGAAACCCCCGGACCCCCGTTAAAATAAAAGATTCTACATGCAGGGCAAAGCCCTGGATCATTTGCACAACTAGCGACGCCCATCTGGACATCATGCATACACGAAGCAAGGGCACCTACAAAACTAACACTTTTATTTAAAACATTGTCTTACCTGCACACGAGTATCATCCCGCTGTCTCTTCTTTTCCCTTTTTTCCGCCCCCGACTCTTGGTGCCTTTTCGAGGCCATGTCTGATGTCGATCAGGTGTCTGCCAAATTTGACACTGATTGAGGAACATACCACTGCGAGGTGGGGAGGGGGGGGGCACCAGAGGGAGACTGGCACAGGAGATTCACCTTTTTCTCCACTAATTTGGTCTAGGCCTATATTACTTTTGTATTGCTTTGTATATTAACATGCTTTAGACATATTTTATTTGTTATTTATACTAGTAGCCTATTGTGATGATTTTTCACGACCCAGATTTTTTGGTGCCCCCCCAAGCACTTGGTGCCCTACGCGCAGTGCGTGATGTGCGTGTGCGGAGCGCCGGCCCTGCATTTAAGTGAAATTACTGAACTTAAATATACAAGTTTGATAAAAATCATCATTAAAGAAGAAAATTTCAAATGGCATTTAGAGGCTTTTGCATCTGAACTCTTCAAATAAAGGTGACATGACTTAAAAAAAACTCTTCATGATTATTAATCTTTGTCCTTTTTCTCTTCTGTTTTGCATTCTTTCTCCCTTTCTCCTCCCTACTTTCTTCATCTCCAATTTCATCTATTTCTTTCATTATTTTTTAGAAGGGGCTGCTCAGCTACTCGGAGACGGACCTCCGTAAACCCAAGGGCTTTGCTGCATCCCTGTCCTGGAAGAAGAAGAAGAAAAGAGATCTGTCCCAAGGTCTTTCAAGCAATAGTGATATCCCAGGGGTCAAAGAGGACATCAGTGAACAGGAAGAATATGACAACCAGGTAGAAGTAGAACCAAACCAGCTTGGTTTTGAGGCAACAATGCCTATGGCAGAACCGCCCTGTACTTCTGACCTATCCCAGACCCAGGATGTCTTGAGTGACATGTCTCGACCCAATGAGGAGGATGCAGGTTATATGCCTTCAGATTTGGGCAGTACATCAATACAATTTATTGACTCTTCACTGTCGGATAGTGATGCTTACCAGACGCCCCCAGATAGCCCAGTCCCAGAGTACTTCTCGTCTGATTACACCGATACCCAAGCTGTAGATAGATCTTCTCAGTACTCCACATCTGGGTCTGACATCACAGACTCATTCAGCCCTGTTCCTAACATGGAGACTTCCGCGAATACTGACACATGCACAGTCCATAATTCAAGCACAGATCTGAACCTGAATGATCATTCTGAAGTATCTAAATCAGGAATTTTAGCAGATGTTGAGGTCAAAACCATCACCACAGATGTTGTTAAAAAAGATTCATACTTGGGAAATAAAAAATCAACTGATGCTGTGCACCACAACTACATGTCCTCCATCAACCAGAGTTCCACCACTTCCGTCTCCGAGATTCCCACCACTTCCATTCCTTCCATCCCCCAAAGTTCCATATCTTTTATTTCTGAAAATTCCCCCACTTCCATCCCCAAAATTTCCATCTCTTCCATTTCCGAAAATTCCCCCACTTCCATCGCCCAAAGTTCCATCCCTACCATTTCCGAAAATTCCCCCACTTCAATCCCCCAAAGTTCCATCTCTTCCATTTCTGAAAATTACCCCACTTCCATCACCCAAATGTCCATCTCTTCCATTTCTGAAAATTACCCCACTTCAATCCCCCATATTTCCATCTCTTCCATTTCTGCAAATTACCCCACTTCCATCGCCCAAAGTTCCATCTCTTCCATTTCTGAAAATTCCCCTACTTCAATCCCCCATATTTCCATCTCATCCATTTCTGAAAATTACCCCACTTCCATCCCCCAAATTTCCATCTCTTCCATTTCTGAAAATTCCCCCACTTCAATTCCCCAAAGTTCCATCTCTTCCATTTCTGAAAATTCCCCCACTTCAATCCCCCAAAGTTCCATCTCTTCCATTTCTGAAAATTCCCCCACTTCAATCCCCCAAAGTTCCATCTCTTCCAATTCTGAAAATTCCCCCATTTCAGTTCCCCAAAGTTCCATCTCTTCCATTTCTGAAAATTCCCCCACTTCAATCCCCCAAAGTTCCATCTCTTCCATTTCTGAAAATTACCCCACTTCCATCGCGCAAAGTTCCATCTCTTCCATTTCCGAAAATTCCCCCACTTCAATTCCCCAAAGTTCCATCTCTTCCATTTCTGAAAATTCCCCCACTTCCATCGCCCAAAGTTCCATCTCTTCCATTTCTGAAAATTCCCCCACTTCAATCCCCCAAAGTTCCATCTCTTCCATTTCTGAAAATTCCCCCACTTCAATCCCCCAAAGTTCCATCTCTTCCATTTCTGAAAATTCCCCCACTTCAATCCCCCAAAGTTCCATCTCTTCCATTTCTGAAAATTCCCCCACTTCCATCGCCCAAAGTTCCATCTCTTCCATTTCTGAAAATTCCCCCACTTCAATCCCCCAAAGTTCCATCCCTTCCATTTCTGAAAATTCCCCCACTTCCATCCCCCAAAGTTCCATCTCTTCCAATTCTGAAAATTCCCCCACTTCCATCCCCCATAGTTCAATCTCTTCCATTTCTGAAAATTACCCCACTTCCATCCCCCAAAGTTCCATCTTTTCCATTTCTGAAAATTCCCCCACTTCAATTCCCCAAAGTTCCATCTCTTCCATTTCTGAAAGTTCCCCCACTTCCATCCCCCAAAGTTCCATCTCTTCCATTTCTGAAAATTCACCCACTTCCATCCCCCAAAGTTCCATCTCTTCCATTTTCCAAAGATCCCTGATCCCCTCAGACAAAACCATGACCCAGAGTTCCAGTTCAGACTCAAATTCTGCCTTTACCCTTGAATGTTTCTCCACACATCCACCTTCCATTACATCCACTGAGGTAGAAGATTCTCAAACCAACACTGCAAATAACAGAAACCTGTCTGCCAGTAACAGTGATAGAGTGAAGACTGACCCCTCCAGTGCCACTGCTAAAAGCACCAAATCCATTTCAGTTTCATCCATGCCTGAAGTGATTTTGTCTAGTTCTGTGTCCTATTCCAGAATTACAGAGAACAGTTATAAAGATACTGATATAAAGACAATTTTATCTTTCTCTAATACTGATGTTTATGAAAGTGACTTAAGCTCAGTAACTCCCAGTTTACCCACAAGCACTCTACATTACACTTCTGATTCAAGGTTTCTGGAAGAAACTCACCCTGAAAGTAATTGTGAGACTATTTCAATGGAATCTAATCAAACGGATAATTATTCTTTCTCGACATTTGCCACTGACTCAGAGAAGCCTGCTGAACCTGTCCTTTTTGAGGATGAGTTAAATATAGATTTACCAGGTGCGTCGAGAATATACACCACCATTAAGTCATCTAAAAAGGTCACCTTTGACCTCTCTGGTCACTCTGAGCCCATCAGCCCTGACCATTCCCAGAAAGGTCTCTCTAACAATACGTTTTATCCAGATGTGGAAACCCTGACTGAAACATCAGCAGAAGACCACGTAAATCAGGAAAGAGACAAAATTAAATCGGCCAATTCATCAGAAACTTCCTCAGATTTTCTAGACAGTGGTGTCTCCAGCACTTCTGAAATCAGACCTGCCATCACAATTCATCCTCCCCCTCACTTAGATGTTTCTTACCAGCTGTTCAGCACTCGATCCCCACAGGGAGAGATAGACAAACAACAGAAAACATGTGAAGATTGTGAGGTTGATGTTCAAGAGGCATCTACTCAAAGTTCTGAGTTGACTGGCCATGATGAAACCACAGCAGAGGGTATAACCACTAGAAATGACCTTCAGATGTCCGAGAAGAACAAATATGGACCAGAAGTGGAGGAAGGAAGTAGACCAGATCCTGATTATCATTATAAATCTCATGTTATGCCCATCCAAGAACCTGAACCAATTGAGATCATAACCGCTACTGAGAGTATAACCATTAGAAACGACCTTCATATGTTTGTGAAGGAAAAATACGATCAAGATGTTGAGGAACGAAGGGTTATTTATGATGAAAATTATTACGTTTCATTTGATCAAGAAAAGGACGCTGAAGAAGAAAAAATCGTGGATGTTTTAACACAAGAGCAAACGTTACTTCACAACATTTCAGAAAAATATGAGGTTGAAGTGCAGAGAGAGGAATTGCAAATGGTCCAACGCACAAGAGGAGCATCTGCATTAATGGAAGCAGAAGTATGTGGAGTTAAAGTGCTGACAGGTCAAGCAGAGAAGCAGATCCTCTGCCTCGATCCACTGAAACCAGACTCACCAGTCAATCAAGAATGTGGCTCTGAAGAATGCACTTCGGCCCCTCCCTTCTCTGAGCCGGTGAAGGTGTCACTTGCAGATTCAAGTATGGAAACACACAGTCACCTGGAGATTAGGCCCCGCCCCTCGGCCCCGCACCAGCCCAGCGGAGAGATAACAACACTGGAGGACACGGCAAGGTGCATATACCAAACAAGCACTGATAACCCCCACGCCGAGAGGGAGGAACATACCAGCAGGAATATAGACACATCTCTCAAAAGAACACAGGAGAGTGAAAGTCAAGATCACAGACCTGGGAAGATCTCAGCAGAGGAGACCTTCACACACGCCGAAGACACAAGATACACACAGGGGACGGTGACATCCAGAGACTATATCTCTCACAGGAACTGGGAGAAAGTCAGTGATAGATCATCCGATGAGATAAGGGAGGAGGACACCGCAAAAGTAAACACTTTCCCTGATCAACTACTTTCAAGAAATTTAGTACCTGGGGAAAGGTAAGCTGCTGATATCTTATTGTTAATCATGATTGGTGTGTGTACGGTTTGAAAGGCAATTGACTGACGTGTGTGTGTGTGTGCGTGTGTTCTAAGGGTTAGAGAGTCAGACTTGTAACGTGATTGAGGGTTCAATTCTCAATACCGACAGGAAATGACTGGTGTGTGTGTGTGTGTGTGTCTCCACAGTTTACAGTGTGTGTGTGTGTGTGTGTGTTCAGTACTCACTACTACTAGTTAGTGTGTGTACACTTACTTAGATGGGTGAAATGCAGCGGACAAATTCGGAATATTGGTTGAATATTGGTAAATGTGTCTCTGTCGCTTTTATATATAGCAATCTAGCTATTTTTTTATTTATTTATATATATATATATATATATATATATATAAATATATATATATATATAAATAATTTTATTCCTGCTTTTATTTAGGTTTGGCTTATGAGCAAATTCATAAATAAAATAATAAAAAATATTTTGTAAAAAAAATTTAAATATAGAGATTAAAGCAATTTTTTTTAATGATTTCTGTATTTTATTCATGCACGTTCCGCTCAGCTTTTGCATGATTAAATTACACACCTGACACATGAGCAACAGATATAAAATTTAAAAAATGATAAAAATTTATATTTTTATCAAATATAAATGCTAATTTTTGAACATAATGTGACCCTGAAGTGATTCAGATTGTATTTGAATAAATCTTTTGATTAATTTGTTAAATTGATGTATTATAGTCGTGACTCGTGTATGTACAGCATTGTTAGTCCACAAGCACTTCTGTTTCTCTGCCAGTTTCATTGTTTTTCCTGGGCCCTAAACTGAACGCAGCACACACTTATGTCCCTGTCTCTGTCAGATTAGTTAAGATGTACTTTACATGCATTAGTAAATGAGGTTGAACTTCTTGTCCCAAGATAGGACAGGTTTATCAAAGCCTCGCCTCGCGTCCCGTACGCTGGTCTGGCTGGGATGGGCCGCTGGAGGAATGTTAGGTAGTTCAAAGTTTGCTATTGAGTCACACTTGATGATACGCATTCTTCAAATAGTCTTCATGAATGAAGACGAATGTCTAACAGCTGAGACCATCGTTACGCAAACAAGTGTGACCATCAGGAATGTGGCTGATGGATTTGCATATTGCACTGGCATTTAGTTTCTCTTCTGAAGATCTTGGTAATACTTACATCAATCATCTATGTGTTAACTTTTCTCAATGCAATAGTTAATTGTTAGCAATGGTAAATCTAAATTACTTGCTAAATTATTATAAAGATGTTCTTCCGTCATGTGAGTGGCATCGGCGTTAGTTTGATCAGAGGCCATTTCTGTCCGGGTTACTTCATCAGCCTGTTCTTGTGAAGTGCAGTGGAAGGTTTCATGCATGAAGCTGTCAATCAGTCTTTCAGACACCCTGTCAAACACTCGGATAAGACCTGTCACATCCATAAATGTCAAACTTTCTGAAAGCTTGGCTGTATGTTTTTTGCAGAAACAGACGCAGGAATGAGTTTCTATGCAAATTTGCAGATTCATGTTGTAGTTCAGTGAGCGATGCAAGTGACAGACAGATGTTAACATGTTCTTATTAACTCCAACCTTCATATCTGTGCTGTCAGTCTCAATACACGTCTGTATAGGCCTCTTTACATTATTGTGACATTTAGCAATATAATAACAATAATGCATGCTTAAATGTAGGACTGATGTTTGAAATTATTTAGGCATTGTTAATGAAATTCCCATGTTAAGGCGTTTTTGGCCAGGAAAACCTCACATAATCCCTGTAATTATTCATAGTACGCTGTCAAGAATGACCCTAATAAAATATTATATATTACATCGTTTTCAGACTTGTGACTGTTGGCGAGTCCATCAGTAGAACTGTAGTCTCAGCCTCAGACGTCACGCCCACGGAACGTTGGCTAAACGTCTGATGCATATGGTACACTTAACTGGAAACACTTCAGGAATGTTGAAGTCGTCATCTGATTGGTTGAATTTTATCGGATTTCCGGGGGGCGTCAGTGTCGCGTTTATTTTCGGTCCGCCGGGAAACAAAGTGCAGACGTGTGATTGCGAAAGAAAACCTGTTGTGTTTATATGAGTGACAATGAGCATTAATCAAGATCAGCTAAACATAGTTGTATGTCCCCTCCATCTATTATGGAAGATCAAGTTAAGTTTGTGGGCAAACATGAAACAACAGACGCTGACATCGCAGCTGGCTGATTCAGTATTCATATATAGGGCGCACACTGGATTATAAGGCGCATAAGATACTGCAGAGTCAAACGTTTGACTGGGTTTGCGTTATGCATCCACTAGATGTGCTAAACTAAAGGCTAAAGGGAATGTAGCGAGTGCGCGGCGCCGGAGGTGAGGCGTTTATTTAGTAGGCATGAGCGCGCTGGGGCAGGGACGTAACTTACATTCGCTGCCTGACTCACGCGAGTATTCAATGTGCGGCGGCTCGCTGACAGCTAACGCTACAGCTGGCTGTTTTGAATGAGACGAGCCGGTTACCGCGAACGGGGAGCGCTTTATGAACATAACTGTGACGCACAAGCAGCGCCGGGGACAGTGTGTCTGTTAAGAATAAGCGCTCGTGAGCGGGCACGTGATTTACACACATAACCTGATTTATAAGAGGTTGAACTGGCCGTGTGACAAAGCGGGCATAAGATGGACATGAGCGCGAGTTCGTGGGTGAATTTAATAACGCGGAGCGTTGTTAACGAGCGCCTCCGGTGACTGCTGACTGACTTGTTGCACACCGGTCTGTTGTTATGGGGACATTTCCACGCCCCGAAACGTGACGCTGAATGAAACGAATTGTAATTGGTTGTTTGACATGTCGGTCAAATGGCCTTATGGGCGGGCCTTGGCCAAAGAAAGCTGCTATGAATTCCAGACCTTCAGCCGTCAGTCTGAAGGTCTCGCTATGCGAGACTAGTAGAACTGCAGCTCTGTCAATCTTCATCAATATTCAGATCATCTCTCAAATCAGAAAAACTAAAATATGTGAATAAAAAGCTCTCGTGGTTCATTATTTCAATCCCTAAAAACAGCAAGATGTTCTAAAAGTGCCTAAAAGTACAAAAACACTGATAATTGTGGTGAGGGGGTCGTGGTTTTCTCGGCGTCTGTAGTGAGAGACGAGTCAATGAGCTGTGCGGTGAGTAATAGGTCAAGTGCAGATGATGTACACCTGTGTCTGATTGCAGTGATTGGAGTGGGGAGACCGATAAAAGCCACACAGTGGGAGAGGACTAGAGAGAGAGAGGAGGCTGGAACTCGGGCTGGAGACTGTGAAGTTGTCGTGATCGACGTGGAAAGAGTTTGTGTGTAAATGACCAGTGGACTGAGCCCTGGGAACTGAGAAGCTGTCGTTATCGATGTGGAAAGAGTTTGTGAATGAAAACTGCTGTAGCACGAGCTACGGTGAATGCGCTGTGTGCGCGCCTTTGTTTTGTGTGTGTTGAGTAATAAAAGACAGTTCGAGTTCCAGCACTGCCGACCCTGTCTCCTTCTTCCTATCCACTTGTCACGAATCATATTACACTGGTGCCGAATTCCGGGAGTGAAACTCTTGAACACTTCATTACCCTTCACTCCTACTTTACTTATTGTAATTACTATTTCAACCTCTTCTTGTTTACTCGCTTGCTTTGCCAATCTATCTACCACTTCATTACCCTTCACTCCTACATGTGCTGGTACCCATGTAAACTTTATCGTTATCCCCATCTGACAAATCCGTGTATGAAGTTCTAGTATTTCATATATTATGTCCTGTCTTGCTTGTGATTTAAAAGAATGCAAACTATTCAGAACTGCACTTGAGTCTGAACATGTGACAGCCTTTTCTGGTTTTACTTCTTCAACCCAATTCCATGCCAACCAAACAACTACCAATTCCACAGTGAATACTGATAAATTATCAGAGATTCTCTTCTTCATTTCCACCCCCATCTTTGGTACACTGAAAGCAGCTCCAGCTTTTCCCGACTGTGAAACTCCCGGAATGGATTAAAATGGAGATAATGGTGGACCGGAGATAAAATAAATACCTAAATAACCCATCTAACTAAAATGAACTTTTTATTATTTTTCGTCTTTTCCTTTTTTAAAAAAAAAAAAAAAAACAATTATTCACCTAAATCCTTTCTGCCAGTCTTGTTTCTTTTAAGAATTGTAATACCAATGCACCCATACCATTTACTGATTTTCCCAGCAATTCCCTTAGTGAATTCCCTTGCCCCCCTAACCTTCTTATAGCCTCTTTCATCTTTCCTCTTTCCCTCTCATATTTTTGACATTCAAAAATCACATGCTCCACAGTTTCAATATTTTCCCAAAATTCACACCTACCCGATACGTGCTTACCTACAATATGTAAATACTTATTTAACCCACAATGTCCTATTCTTAATCTTGTGAAGATAATTTCTTCCCTTCGCTTCCTTCCAGTGACCCTCTCTGTCCCAACCTTTTGTTGAATGTTATAGAAATGTCTTTCTTTTTCCTCCGCATCCCAGTGTGCCTGCCACTTTTTATTGATTTTTGACCTGATTTGTGCTTTCGCTTCTACTTTACTTATTGTAATTACTATTTCAACCTCTTCTTGTTTACTCGCTTGCTTTGCCAATCTATCTACCACTTCATTACCCTTCACTCCTACATGTGCTGGTACCCATGTAAACTTTATCGTTATCCCCATCTGACAAATCCGTGTATGAAGTTCTAGTATTTCATATATTATGTCCTGTCTTGCTTGTGATTTAAAAGAATGCAAACTATTCAGAACTGCACTTGAGTCTGAACATGTGACAGCCTTTTCTGGTTTTACTTCTTCAACCCAATTCCATGCCAACCAAACAACTACCAATTCCACAGTGAATACTGATAAATTATCAGAGATTCTCTTCTTCATTTCCACCCCCATCTTTGGTACACTGAAAGCAGCTCCAGCTTTTCCCGACTCAGTGT